TGATTGAGCATATATTGGTCCACCCCCCCCCCCCCCCCCCCCGCCCCCCCCCCCCCCCCCCCCCCCCCCCCCCCCCCCCCCCCCCCCATTTACAAATATTTCACACCTTCGAGGGGTCAGCAAAAGTGACCAGACCACAGACTTATATATGGGCGTGCCCACAGAGGCACTGGCCAGAGCTGAAAGCTGATTGGCCCTCCGAGTGCCCATCCTCCAATCAAACACTGATTCAAAACACATAATTAGCTAATAATTCTTCATTCTTATGACCTCCACCTTTAAAAAAATAAAATAAAAATAAAAATCCTGGAGTTGCCGGAGGTTAAGCATCTACACAGCCTTCGGTGATGAGATGTGGCACTTCTTAGAATTTAGTGATCAGTGATGACACAGCACACAAAAACGAAATGTGTCCTCTGCATTTAACCCATATGTGACATCTTGACATAGCAGGGGGCAGCTAATGCAGCACCCAGGGAGCAGTGCTTGGGGACGGTACCTTGCTCAGGGTACCTCAGTGGTACTTTGCTGGTCAGGGATTCGAACCAGCAATCTTTAAATTACAGGTGCGCTTCCCTAAGCATTAAGCCACCTCTGCCCCGCTTTGAACCCTTGTCCCGCATCGCCTCTTCCCATTACACTGTGCGCGCCTCATCTTAACCATATTAGTAGCTTTCCATTCCCAGATTCCAGCATGGCTGTGAAATCTAGGAAAGCACGTGCACATTTTTCATTAGCATGCAATGAAATGCATATACAGACAATAAGACGTAGTACTGGTTTGAAGTGTTCCCCAGCGACTGTCAGATTTTAGTCCAGTGCTGTGTAGTAAAATAGTCCTCGAGTTTGGCCTTATCTTCGCCCCTCAGAACTTGAGATTAACATCTCTGAACAGCTCAAGGATCAGCAGACTTGTTGAAGTTTTTCTCATCTCGCTTGAAGCGTGGCTCGAGAAAGTTGCGTTTTATCTTACTCCATTGTCGCCGGGTTTGTCCGTACCCGGTTCCGAGGGCCAGCGTAGCTCACTGCCTGACACTGTGTGTGTGTTTGTGTAGATTATATTTATATTACATTGTGGGGACCAAATGTCCCCCCATAATGTGATAAAAACCTGTTATTTTGATGTAGTGGGGACCATTTTTCAGGTTCCCACAAAGATCTGTAAATGCAATCAAAAAACTAACAATTTTAAAAGTCTCATGTTTTGTTTGGTTACTTATGGTTAAGGATAGGGCTGGGTAGGGGGTTAAGGGTGTCATGTTGGGATTAGGGTTTTCCCCATAGAAATGAATGGAGAGTCCCCACAAAGATATAATTACAAACCTGTGTGTGTGTTTCATCGTTATAATACGAATGTGGCCCCCATCGCCAAACCTGATTGGTCTGTGTCGTTGAACCTGATTGGCTCCCGTGCTGTTCCCACTTTATTCTGCTCCCTTTCATTTCCAGGCATCTGCAGCTATTGAAGTTTCTGAGGATCTAATTAAGTGCCGTTATTTCTTGTCCTGGCCTGGTGCAAGCATGCGCGCACACACGCACACACACACACACACACACACGCACACACACACGCACACACACGCGCGCACACACGCACACACACACACACACACACACGCACACACACACGCACACACACGCGCGCACACACGCACACACACACACACACACACACAC